AACTGGCAGAAGTATACTAAAGTATTTCAGATATGCTGTAAAGTAGATGCTGGAGTTTGTGTGAACTTTACAAGAGCATAGCGGTTTAATGGTCAGTTCTGACCATAAGTGTTAGTTCTGCCATAGTGATACCTAGGTCAGCTGTAAAAATGAGTACAGAAGGCTCTGGGGAGTTTGCCTCAAGAATAAATTAGTTCTAAGATTGAGATGATGATCTGAGCATTTGGGATAACTCAATGATGTTAACACAGATTACAGGTTCAGAAGGTTTAAAGTAGAACACCCAAGCAGAGATGTTAGGTACAGCAATTGATAGGGAACCTTCAAGTGGACTTCTTAAATAGGTAATATAGAAAAGTTATATATGTAACTAATTGTACACTATCCTGTAATGGTTCATTGAATCACAATACTGATAAGTAATTAATAAAAGTCAAAAGACCAAAAAGGTTACCTTAATACCAAAAAAAAAAAAATTCTGGTAATTCTCATTATACTATTAATACTATCTAACACTGATGATAAACAGAAGAACATAATCATTAAGGACATCATTACTATATACCAAAGCAGAATAATTAACAAGACAATAAACAAAAAAATAAAACATATAACAGTTAAAATAATATTGTACAAAATCAGCAAAGCAATACACAAACAAATCTGGATTACTTGATGTCAAACAACATTTCAAGACCAAAACACACCAAACTAACAATCCTTAAACACTACTATATTTAGTAAACCAATTCAACTTAATACAACAACTTCAGGTAATACTAATACTCATATCTATATACCTATTAATTACAAAGCCTGCAAATTGAAAAAAGAATTAACATCTGAACAGAGAACTTCAAAAACTACAATGCATCATTCAACTCTATAGCAACAATTCAGGACTAAACAAGACCTTTGAACCCTCTTGGCAAAGTTTAGGTCAGGAGTAAATTAACTCTAGCTTTAGTTTTTTATAAATAGAATATATACTATATTATATTATGTAATATACCTATATATAAAATTCAATAAAGAAAACTGAAGCAAGACCTTGCTTTTTTTTTAAAAAAAAAAATTTATATAATAATAACTATTGAAGTTGACTAATCATATCCAAACATGATATGCTTTATAACTACTATAGTAAAGTCATGTATTGCATATTCAGAATCAATGAAAGTTTTTGTTTTAATTTTATGATTCATGAAATTTAAAAAAAAATTTATTGATTTTGCTCTATAAAATTTCATGGCAGATTATTGGTTTTGATTGGCAAAGAGTGATGATCAAATTATTTGCCCAGAATTACTCGGAATTTTATTATTGTTTCTGGCAAATTTTACCGTAATGTGAGATTATTTTCCAAAAAAAATCAACATTACGATAGGAAATTAGTAGATTATGTAATGCGGGTCAAAATTTTGCGATCTGAGGCCGTTAACCAATCAAAATCGAGGAACTGCCGTAACAATTTTGGTTGAAGAAATCTGATTGGTGCTTTTATATAAATTATTATTTAAAAATACATATGTACTTGCTAATAGAACCCAAAACAACATATAAAATATGCTTATTTCGAGCATCTCTAATTTGGACAATTTTCGGGTCGGGTTTCGGGTTGACTCGACCCGATTCAGAGCACAAGTTGTTACTGCCTGAATGTATGTTTTTTACAATTATACTCGTTAATCTATAAAAATCTTTATATGGAATTTAATCCTTGCACCGTAAAGTATTTACTGCCAAATTTTCTTGGGCGTAAATATCCAATAACTTTAGCTAAATTTCGTTCTTACCCCAAAAATATAATCCGACAAATCACAGGTTATATCGCTAATATGTAATATGGATCAAAATCAGATGTTGACTAAATTCCTATAATCTTTAAGAAGAACGTTGCGAAATTAATAAGAATAAAAAAAAAAGCTATATTTTCGGAAAGCTTCTTAGAAAAAGTGCACCAGTTCAATAACAGATAAATTTTGTCCAACGCAACTCAATTTCTGTGCTACTTCTATAATAAGGACTTTTATGGGTATCATGGCATCTTTATTTAGGAAACAAATAGTTTTTTGTTTTTGTCAAATATATATTAAGTTATAACTTAGAAATGTACCCTTTGTTTTTTTGCCAAATTAGTAAGTGATCTTAATGAATTCTTTGATGAGTGTTACGAGTGAAAACTTGTAATTGTTTATAGTTTTCACACGGCAATATTCGTATCATATATTATCAAACAAATTGGAATAATAATATCATGTTAATCGGATATACACAATTTTGCTCCGTAACTACAACATAATATCGATTGCAACAAAGTGATTGATTTGGATGAGTAAATAAGTATGCCGTACTTGTATGTAGTATTCACCTGAAGTTACAACCGGAATTTCTTCTGCCAAAAATTGCTAATTAAAGCACCCAAAAATACTTAGGGGTTATTTAGTTTCAATAAGGTGTAACTTCAGGCACCTGAAACTCAAGCATCGCACGACAAACATACCGGATTATATTACTATACCAATTGCTTAATTTATTGTAATTCATTGTTAGCTATGTAGTAAATGACATTATAGTATGCATAAATTATGAATAACATTTACATGCATAAATACATCCTTCGTTTATATTTTTATAATAATTAAAAAATTGCGACTTGAACTAATTATTTCTCGAGCTTAACGCCGGTTATTATAATCAAATCTTAATATATCTTCGTTCTTTAACTAGCCTTCACCAAATTTATAAAAAACAGAAATAATACCTTAACAACATGGGTGTTACAATTAACAACGATACAATTGTGCCTTTAAATATTGTAGCTATTCACAATTTTCCAATGTTTATTAGTTATAGTAAATACATGTGCCTTTTACCTGGAGAGGCTGTCAGATTTGCTTGCAAACGGTAAGTTGGAAATTGAATGTGCCATTATTCTGCCAATATAAGATATCTTATTGTTCTCTCTACGGGATATAGTACTCCAACTAGGTTTTTTATCTGGTCATATAGTGGACCTAACTCTGAAATTTCTGATAATAGGCTTGCAGCACTGTGTGCTATGCGCAATTTTGTTAGCGCTATGAGTATGGGTTTAAGCGAGGCTAAACACTTTGTGGCGGAGCGAGTTCTTGATTTTGCTGCAATCACAATTCAAAATGCTGTTATGCATGCGGTAGTCGATCATTTAATCATGGCTGCAGAAGGTTACGCGTTTACAAAGATTGCTAGTATTTGTGCAGAAAAAATGTTTCTTGACAGGCGAACCAATCACAAGCAGATGAAGACTATGTGGGTTATCAACTCCTCATCCAGAACTATTCAAATAACAGGCGGGCCTGTACTTTATGTTACTGATTGGCACAAGGAATTGTTTGATGGTGAATTCGAGTTGGAATTGAGCTGATTGAAAAGCAACATTTTATGCGAAATTTATTACAATGCATTTTTGTTATATTATTGTCCGAAGAACATACATATGTCCGTAAATTACGAATTTTGATTGGTTGATCATGTTTTGCGTTTAATTTGTATTTCTCGTATCTCTTCCATGAATTTTTTACGATCGGTGAAAATTTCTAGAAAAATATAATTTATACACGTGCTTTTTATTATAACATAAATGTTTCATTGATCACATATTACATAAATTTAAACCAGAAAAAAAAATTTTATCAAATCATACATCCATATCATCTTGTACATAGTTAAATTTTTGAGCAGACAATATAGTATATTCGGTTCATCCGAAGAATTGTCAAATCAGCGATTATCACCAAATATGATTAAATTGTTGACGGTAATATTTTATTATTTATAAATTAACCTTCAGGGTATTTTTCGTCATTATTTTATCTTGAAAATCAAATAATTTTTATACTGTTTGGTTTAAAAAACTGTAGGACAAATTGGTGAACTTTTTTTTGAAAGCTTGTCGTGTAATACAAACTTCACATTCTTGTATTGTTCGTCCTTACTAATATAAAGGGTTTTGAAGAATGAGTAACTCATTATCTAAAATCTAAACACTGTGTACATAAAAGTTTAGATCCATACGTTGAGAAAGTGCGAAAATATTCTGGATCCTGGGTAATACAAATACTACAATACAGCACTAAATACTATATAAACTACTCTAATTGAACCCTAATGCTACGATTGAGGCGTAGAAAGACTTGTTCCGAGCAACTAGGGTTTAATTAGAGTTCTAGATTATCTTATTGCAGAATCACGATTATAATCCTCCAATTTACGCAATGGCACAAAGTTTTATTAATACTATCGAGCCATTTGTTACTATTTGTTTACTTCAATAATTTTTGTTGCTGCGCCCTGAATTCAAATAAATCAGCAGGATTATAATTTTCCGGAAAAACATTAAAAATAAAATCTACAAGATTTTCTGATTTAATTGCATTTTCTTGATTAGTTCGATTTTCATTCTTTTTTCGTTTATTGTTAAAGCCGTTCGAAGTTGATTCTACGGTTAACATCACCTCCCGAAAAATGAACAACCAATCAAAACCCTGGATAACTCTCCCCAATCTCTTGATTAACGTCGATCAATCAAATTTTCTCATATTTGTTCATTCTATATGTTCGTTTATTTTATTCCCTCCACCCTCCAGGAGTTCTAAAAGTGATGTTAACCGAAAATTCAATTGCAAGCGGCCTAATGGAAAATTTCAGAATAACGGGTTTATTGATTTTATGCTTTTGATGATCGCTTTTCACTTTAAAGAATCTAAGAAAAAAATTCAATACATTGTGAGCTGTGAAAACGTGATCCCGGAAATATGTTGAAGGAGATGATCGATGTGGCGCAGTAACGTAATTCACGGCTATGTCGATCATATTGTTAGAGGGAAATCCGGTTAGAGCCGTTTCGTAACGATCGTCGAAAACTGACCGAAAACGTGACCGGAATCGCAAGTTGGATCGAGACCTAAAACTGGCGATCGTGTAACCCGATTTCTCCCCATTGTATGCAAGAGAAGCCCCAAGATTCGGAACAAGACACCCACGATTGTAAGCCTG